CCAAGCCTTTGTATCCCAAACTTTTGTAGGATTTCTATCATCTTTTGGCTTTCTTCTCTCAGGTTTTCCTTCAAGTTGAGCGGATAACGCATTGGAGAGAGTTGCATAGTTTAAGGATAACTGTTCTATTTGTTTGGTAAGATTATTAATAGCATTATTGTTTCCATTTGGTTGAGTTGGTACAGGAGATTGTTATTCATAATATTGACCACTCTCAACTTGTTTAGCTGCATCAATAGCTTCTTCTACATTTTGGGATGACTAAATGCTACAAGAGGAACGATATTCTTTCTTAATCCATTAAGAAAAAGTCTTACAGTATATTTATTTGGTAAGGCACTAGAAGAGTCGACTTTCTTTAATAATCTTTTAAATTGTCCTGCATAAAAATCCACTTTTTCATAAGGTCCTTGACGAAGTGTATTTAATTGATGATACCATAAATTTTGTTTTTCTTCAGTTGAGAACTTTTCCAAAAATAATGGTACAAAACTTGCGATAGCATTACCATCTGAACTCCAATAAGTGATAGTATCAACATTTTCCTCAAACCAGTAAGCAGCTAGTCCATGTAGATATCCTGGTACAATTTTCAGCATTCGAGCTTTAGACCAATTATTTGCTTCAGCAGCAATTTCAAAGCTTCTGATCCAATCATTAGGGTCTTCATCATCATTCCCATAGAAAGGTTTTATCGTGATAATATTGCTTTCTTTTGGTGTAGTATTTTCACCATGTCCACCCGAACCAGAAGGTGTATTTTTAATATCTTTAGCAAGATCTTTAAAACTTTTTATCATGTGATCTATGAGATTCTTTAACTGTTCATTATTCATTGTTGTTTCAGTTACTTCAGAGGTTGTGGATGTAGGAGTAAGTAGTGAGATAGAAGTATTAAAAGATTTTTTGAAGCACTCAGTAGTGTAGGTAACTAATAATAAATATTGTAAAATGGAAGGTAAATCAGCAGGATATAAGTAATAATTTAAACAATATAATAATGCGACTGCTGCTTTTGTCGTTTTATTACTATTATGAGCATTTTCACGATAACTATCTAAATAAAGTTTAAATGCTGTTAAAGAGCAATTACTGAATACTGTAGTATTATATTCACTAGAGATCCAATTCCAAAAGTTTTTAAAATTCTTTGTTACTATTTGATTAATAGGATTACACTGCACACAAGATGCGTTTTTTTCCAAAGGTGAATTATTTTTGTGTGCTTCTTTATGATATTCTTGGATTATTTTAACAAATGTAATTATTATAATAAATATCAAATTAACGTAATTAATTTTAATATTATTAAAACTAATTAATACTAAAGTATATTTGAAATACTACTATATAATAAAACTTGTAATAAACTCTTATTATTAAGATCTATAATTATCTTTTATAATATTAGATTCTGATTTATATACTATAATTGCTTAAATAAAATGAACAAAAATTTATAAGTATAAATAAGAGCTATTTATTATTTTAAATATATTGAATTAATATAATTGTTATAACTCATTTTTTCTAAACTAGCAATGGTAAAATCTTTATAATTATTAAAAAAAATCATAACTATTATAAAAAAAATAATAATCTTTAGCTTTTCTTAAATATTATATCTTAGACAATTGTTATTAAACTATTAATTAGACTAGATTCTATTTACAAGTTTATGATTAATATAATTCTTACATCTTTGTAAGTAATATATATACTTCAAGATTATATATTATTTTAAAATTAATTTTTTAATTACATAAATATTTAAAAATTGAAATTGATTTATATTTACTATATTAACTTTATTAGAATAAATATAACATAAGAGAATCTATAATAATTTTTTATTTTAATATTATTTTTGATTTATAAAATAAGAATTTTTAAATTGTTTATAATAAGTTTATTATTAATAAATCATAAAAGATTTTTTTTATAAATCCTGTTATTCTTTAAAATATATTAATTAATGCTAAATAATTTTTAACTTAAATACTTTTTTGAATAATTTATATACTATATGATCATTATATTTTACTTAATATTAAAATAATTAAAAACAATTAAAAATTACCTAAAGTTACTAAATATAATAATGATTGTTTATCAAATAATTTATTATTATGATCAAAAAAAATTTATTAGAATTGCTTATTAATTAAAGCAAATAGTTGATAATCAATCATACTTTTTCATCAATTTTTATATATTTATTATTTATTATTATTAATAATTAGTACCAGCATATAAATTTCTTTTTTAGATGATTATAACATCTTATTTGAATTTTTATCAAAATTAAATTGTATTTTTTAGATTTATGTTGATACTATATGAATTCAATCTTACTGCGCTATAAAGATTGACGAATGATCAACATTATTAACATCATTATCATTTTTAACTTAGTTAACATTTTTAGTTAATTTATTTTATTCTTATATTTTATTATTATTATTTATTAAATTATTATTATCGTTAAATTATAATTTATCTTTTATATTTATTTTATCGTTA